AGGCCGGAGGCCGGCAGGGTGCGCCGCACAACCCGAGACAGACAGCAGCTCTCTGCTGCTGTGAATTACATTTTCAGTGCAGGCGGCTGGTTATTCTTCAAGGAAGAACCATGAACAATAAAAGGTGGGAAAAAAACCCGATGCTCTAAATGATTCGCAAAGCCTTAAGGAGCTGTTCCACTTAAAGCAGAACACGGCTTCTTATGAGAGGCCTCGTCTTTCCTTTACACTCAGTTGTGAGCAAGTAACCTTCGAACCTCCAGAGTGCATCAGAGCTGCAAAGAGGTCCGGGGGCTGTGGGTGTGGAGAAACCAGTGCATGAAGCCCCCCGCCCAGGGCCAGAGGCTGGGGGGACCCTGAGATGCGCACCCCACGGCTCAGCGGGCCTGGCCCCTTCCCTGAAAGGCGTGACCAGTTGTCCATGTGCCTCCTGCCGACTCAGCCACATTAGCGCAGAAGGCTGTGTGCGGGGCAGCAACTGCGGCACCTACTTTGTCACAGCAGCCAGCCTAGATGGTGAATGGGAGGCAGCGCGAGGGGTGGGGAGGGGTCGCTGGTCAAACCCGACGCGGTGGGACCTTACCTTCGGCCCTTGTCGTCCTGGGTAACCCGGTAACCCTGGGACGCCGAGTTTTCCCTGGGGAAACAGAGGCGGTGTGTCACCCGGCCAGCGCGGTACTTCTCAGAGCAGAGAGGCCGCCAGCGCGTGCCGGGGGCACCGCACGAGGGTGCAGTTTCCGGGGGACCCCTGCCTGTCCTTCCGGGAGGGCATCTCCCGAAAATCCTTGTCTGGTCTGAAGCAAAGGCTCTGAGAAGAACGCGGACGGACATCGCCACTGGAGCAAAGGTTGGGGAAGCAAATGCCCGAATGAAAAGGAAGTGCTCATCTGCGAGGCATCGCTCAGTCCTTCTGTGAAAGGGCTCCAGCCTCGGGGCGGGGCGGGGCGGGGCCTGGGCCACTGAGAGCCGGCGTGGTGCGGGGCTGGGGGTGCCCAGAGTGGGGGTGGGGACCAGGACGAGGGCGGGGCAGCCTTCTACAGGTGTGAGAGCTGCTGCTGGTGGGAGGACGGCCCCGTGGCTGCCGGGCTCGGCCCCTAGCTTTGTGAGCAGCGGGGGAAGAGGAGACTCTTCCAGGAGTGGACTTGGTGCCAAGAGTGCCCGGAGGACCAATGGGACGGGAACCGCGTCAGGACTCACACCAGTCCCCACCTCGGGACCAGCCTGACGGGGTCACCGTCTGGATGCCCGTCCTGGGAAGTGCTGGGTTCTGCAGTCATGTACCTTCTCCCCGGGGGGCCCCAGAGGGCCCGGGTCACCGTTCGGACCTCCACGGCCCTTGGGGCCTTCAGGGCCGTCTTCCCCTCTGGGACCAGGTGGGCCGATCTCCCCCTGCAGGTCAGAAAGAGAAGGTGAGGGGGGACCCCCCCAGTCTCCACCCCGTGGGACTGACCCCACCGCCTGGGAGTCGGGCCGGACCCCAGGCCTGGGTGTGCAGGGCTGCTAGCCTGCCACGCAGACAGAGCATCACTGTGTCACCGACAAGACCAGGGCTCTGCTGAGCAGCCGCCGCCCTCGAGGTCACACTCTCCTCTTCCCGACTGCCTTCTCCAAGTCGAGCTCCCCTTGGCTGAAGTCACTGGTGGTGGTCGCAGCTTTGAGCTGCCACTTCCCGGTAGAGCAGGACCGCCGTGCTCTGGGGGACCACCTTCCTCCCCCCGGGGCCCCAGGAGGGATCAAAGCTGACCACGAGGCCTGGCGGGGCCGCAGCCGGGGCATCACGGCACCCAGGAGACTCACGAGGCCTAAACACCGCCTCATCCAACCTCCGCAGTGACAGGAGGGAAGGCTGGGCCCAGAGAGGAGGCCTTGGGGGCGGGGGGGGGCAGCAGTGCCCCACCCCCGCCCTCTCTGCCGACTGACAGCCCTCCTCTGGTCACTGGGTTCCAGGAGCAGCTGCGGGACAGCTGTGCCACCCCCTCCCGCCACCCCCCCAGCAGAAACGTGCGTCCCTTAACCTTCCGCTCCGACTTGTCTGCGGGTCGAGCGCTCTGTCCCTAAGAGGCGCTTTTCTCATTCAACAAACGAGCCCTTCCCACTTCCACTGAGCACTTGGGAAATGAGGGGCAGGAGCTCCTCCGGAGGAAGTCGAGACAGAGAACACTTGCTCCCCCAGCGACTGTGGGATGGCTTTTGAAAAGGCTCCCTCCTCAAATGGCCCCAGTGTGTGCATCGAGTTGTCAGAAAGAAAGGATAAAAGGGGCTTTCACCAGCCAGACAGAAGGAGGCCCCTGAGACGTGGGCGTCCTCACCGCAGAGAAAGCTCTAGAAAGGCTGCCTTTAGCAGCAACGAAACTGGGACACCACTCCCTCTCTTTTATTTATTTAGAGGCACAGATCCCTTCTGCCTTTCCAGTGTGGGACAAAGCTCCACATGTCTGCTTCTGGTATGTCCCGAAAAGGCGCCAGCAGAACTGCTCTGGGGGCACAATCAGGGCAGCAGCGCGACAAGCGGGTTCCAGCCACCAGCGTCCGTCCAGGTGCGCGAGCAGCTGCCGCCACAGCTGCGCCCCCGGCGGCGCGGGAGTCCCTTTCCATCTCCCTGGACTCCACATCCCAGTGCGCCGCGGCAGCAGGCGGCTGGCCCGCCAACCAACTTCTCAAGTGTTCTGCGTCACCCCCCTGACTTATATGGAAACACCTCCACCGGCTTCCTGCGGGCCCCTGCCGCGTGGGCCCGCCCCACCCTGCGGCAGCGCCCAGCAGCTCCTCTGGAGCCGAGAGAAATGTGCACTAAAGCAGCAAGTCGGTGGTTGTGACTTCAGATAAGCCAGCAGCAGGTCCCAGAGCACGGGGCTGTGCGGGGTCTGAAACAGGAGCTGACGGATGCTTGGGGGCCAGACGCTCCGAGGGCTGGGCAGGGACCCCAGGCCCCCAGGTGGCCCTGCCAGTGACCAGCTGGCGGCCTTGGGCAGGCTGCCACGCTCCCTGGGGAGGTGGGTCATTTCTGCAGCCCCTTCATCTCTCCCAGGCACCAGTCATCCTCTGTGAGACAAAAGAATTTCTCCACAAACCAGGGTAGCGGCCAGGAAAACAGAAAGCCCCCACTGAGCCACCTGTGCAGGGAAGGACGGGGCGGAGGGGCCAGGTGACCACAGCTGACTTTGTTAGCAGGAGCACACCACCAGAGGCCAACCGCCCGGCTCACAACATGCCCACCTGCGCCCAGGGACCTCCAGGGGGCATCACCTCTGCTCCGGGAAGCTACCCCGTGGCCCCCGCGCAGGGCCTTCCATGCCGCAGTCCCCACGCCCCCGTCGGTCCCGCCCCCG